ACATATACATATACATATATAATTACCATGAAATACACACAGCATGAATCAGGAGCTTCCATCGATGGCAGAGAGTGAAGCCGAGGATGACGAGTGTGACACCGGGTCAACGGGAACGAATACGCGGCCTGGCACAGGGATATCTACAAATAGAACACATGCCAGTGCCCGAGGCCTTGGGGCTGGTTGGAGTGGTGTGCACAGCCGGGATTGGAATAGCTGCAGTACTTTAAGACTGTGCGCCAGGTATGTGAATAAGGGGAAGGTGGCTGGGTGAGCGTATCTGATGTATGTGTCTGTGTGTGAGTGTATGAGTGTGTGAGTGAGTGGGTGAGTGAGTGTGTGTGTGTGTATGTATGTAGGTATGTACGCATATATAAAAGTTTTAGTAAAATTAAAACCCCAAAACTATCAGCCGCCCAACCGGCGGATACTTTCACAAGCGCCGACGTATCATGCTGTAAGCGAAAATAGGGGGCGAAGGAATATGAAATTTGAACCAAACAATGATGTATTAGTAAAAGGAAACAAGGAGGATATGTATTTATCGGGGATTAGGGTTAAGGGATAGGGCATATGCATTCATTTTAGATGGTTTTTATAGTAATCTTGTATGTATTGACATTGCGTACAAATCATTCAGTTAAATTTATGTATGATTTTATGCGCGTATTGATATAGTACTGATACCACATACTAGTATATACATATATTCAGCTACTCTTGAGTATCGGTCATGTCAATTGAAACAAGATAGTCATCTCCGTCACACCATTTCCCTATATTACACGGGGACGCCTTCTGCCCTTAAAGAGATACCATAGTCTATTACTTTTATTAAAAAATTAATGTAGTTTATTGCTCTTGCTAATAGTATAATATAGTTTACTACGTATGTTCCTATTACGTCACACCCCATTCTGCTCTCCGTAGTGGCAGCAGGTTCCGCATGACCAACGGCTACACCCATCAGAGCCGTCAAAACCTACGGCTGAGGGGCAAGTTCAGAAGTGGTGACGAAATAAGTAAAGTTAGTGGTGACAAAATAAGCAAGAGAAGTAGCACCGGCAATAGGCGCCGCAGTTTGAGCTTTGATTTGTTCACTATGGTCGAGGCTGAGGACGATACTTATCACGCAGGTAATTGCAGGGAATGATGGCACAGTCTGGTGGGTGTATTATATCAAGCGAGGAAGTGTTTGACTTTGTTGTGACGGAAAAATATCGGTAGATGTTTTATAGGAGAATGGTAAGTACTCATATATCTTTTTTAGAACAACTAGCATAGAATGAACGTATATATGTGTGGTATGGTGGTATATGAG